CGTATGCTCGCCAATTGCTCTTCGGATTTCTGTGATGGGAATTTTTGCAACCGTAAAACTGCAATTTTTCTCCAAAATCTCGATCTTACTTTGTCCCAAAATTCTCCCAATCTCCTTGGTGTGTGCACCTGTATTCAGATGGACGTAATTTCCCCGGCGATTGACGTTCTTGTGATCGTACCCAGCCTAATTAATTCTTCGGTAAGCTGGCCCTTCGTCCAAGTTATTGCTGAATCTGTTTCTACTGCGTGTTCACTGAGAGGGATCAACGTCGCTGCATCTCGCTTGTGCATATATAAGCGCCTAACCTCAGTACCTTGACACAATCCAAAGAACCATGAACCCTCAGTGCGTGAGCAGTAGTTCCAATAATTCTGCACTGAGTTGCCATCTTTTTTTTCTGCGGCAGGTGTGTCTCCACCTAAAAGATCCCCACGACTGTACATACGACGCCCTGCGACTCTGGCCTCGTCGATTTTTATTTAGTTTTCTTTTGTTTCAGTTAGCTATCTCCTGCCAGCGACAGACACGTTTTCATAGCGGACGCTCCGGCAGTAACTCAGCCAGACAACTACAGTATTCGATGATCTACCTGTAAGCTTTTAAACTTCTCCCAGTGAACTAGCCCTACACTTTCACAGAGGTTTGGCTTACACTGGAGTCTCTCCCGTTCAACCCGCAATAATCGCAGACTTCATTCCCTTACTGATCGAACAGACTGACAACCCGTTATTTTGCATCTCCATATCGGTACAGCCTATTGGCGGATCATCTTGTTCCTGAACGTCACCTGACCTATCGCACTTGCGGGTAGATTTTTCCTCTAACAAAGACACCATGTCAGAGGAGCTATTGCGAAGCCGCTTCTTCACCATGCCTCACTATAACATTATGAAGGATTTGCTGAATGAGGGTTTTGGTCGCGTCATAGTAACACCCTCTAATTGTCTACTAAAGCATATTTTGGGTCACTAACTGCATCCGCTTGTGAGGATTGCATCCCGAGGCCCTAAGAAATGTTGCGGCAAGTAAAATTACCACAAACGGACACCAAGTAAATGAGGTGGCAATGTCGGGTGCTCTTGCGTCTTCAAAATATGCCGTCGACTCATTTAGCGGTGGCACTACGCAAACGGCAAATATTATTGCCGGCGAAAAAAAGGGAGAATAGAATGGCCATTTCGGGCTCATTAGTCATCGTCAGCCAGCCATACCCAGATTAAAGTGGTTTCCCACCCGAGCCTTGAACTCGCAACCGTTTTGATTCGAGTTAAACGCCCTAACCATTGAGCCACAAGCTCCTTGT